GAAGACTCAAATTATCATGAACCGTTGAGGCCTTTTCGTGGTGTATAAGTGAAAATCTATAAATAGGAATAGATTTTCAATCTTAAAGACAATCAAACCACCATACTCAAATTCATTCCATATCGAAAGAGTTTTTACATGCCTTTTCGTGGTGTATAAGTGAAAATCTATAAATAGGAATAGATTTTCAATCTTAAAGACAATCAAACCACCATACTCAAATTCATTCCATATCGAAAGAGTTTTTACAAAGTCCATATACATATTCATATATCAAATTGTTCTTCAAGTTCTAAGAAGAAAACACAAGTGCTAAAGTGTTATCTTTTTCTAGGCTCATTCAATCATACACATCATTTGCCATGAGTCCTTTTGAGCATAAAAATCAATCCTAGAGGAGGCAATTTTAGTTTGAGAACAGCAACTACGCATTCAAGCATTTTTCCGGTATTTGGCTACTTCCTTTGGTTCTCCTCTCCAGTTGTAATAGTGTAATATACTCGAGGATTTCCACTTTCTCAAATGAACAACTTGAATTTTGAAGACCAGTTGATTCTTACAACTGAATGCAAAGTTGATCACTCATTCGTAGAGGTAAATCTCACCTACCTAATTAATGAGGGTATTCAGTACTCTCACAGTAGATGTTTCGTTACCATTGAAGCGAAATTAGGTTGTAGTTGTATAGAGGTATCTGAAAAAATCATGAGGATTCTCTAAAAGCACTCAGGTCTTCTTATTCATCTCTGACTACTGGGATAATTTCCACAAGCACAGTCCCACTTTTTGTTCAATTCATCAAAAGTTATCTTACAATGAAAAACAACTCTCGTACTTGTACTAAACCCCAATAGTAATTAAGGAAAGAAATAAGGGAAATCACTCTAAATAATTGTAGAATAATTCTTATTCCAATCGATTGCAAGTTCTGTATAAATAGTCTTCTAATAATATATCAAGGATCTCCATCAATAAGCTTAGGAAATTTTTGGGAAAAAAATGTACAGATGAAGGCACAGTACAGAATCTGGCTAACCTGGGGAAAAGAAGTGAAATTACCTTAAAAATATTCAAGACGGTGGCCACTCCGGTTTCATTTAAAGTAAAGAATTCCATTGGATTAGTCAAAAATTAAACATATATTTGGAGGAAAAAAGAACGACGGCAACAAAACATACTGATTTTTTCCCATCTTTTAATAAGGTCAAGATATAGAGGAAATTACAATCTTTGTTTTTACTGCTTACAACATAAAACAATAGACTAAGGATGCAACAAGTACAGAGAGAGAGGATATCAAAAGTTCATCAATATTCAACAAGGGGGAAATAAGCAATTATGCTTTTTCAATATCCCAGGACAATGAACTTTGTTCCCAACAAACCAAGTTTAGCAATAGAAATTCACTAAGGATAATAAAAACGAACATGGCAGACAATTCTGATTAAAAAGAACAAGAGAACAAACCGTGAACGCTGAAACCAAGTTGATCAGTGGTTGTAACTTTCATTTCCCTGCTCCGGTGATCCTGGCGACCGTATATTCTTGTGATCAGAATGACTTTCACTATGTTCAAAGCCATTACTATTGTCATTGACGTTACCCCTAGCAGATTCTGCCTGATCTCTTTCCCTATTCCACTGCTCTATTTTTGCCCTCCTCTCCATACTGCTTTCCCTAACTGGACTCCTGTTTCTCCTTCCCCCAGGGCTTCTGCTTCGCCCACCTCTGCGACCAGGACTTCTGCTTCTAGGCCTCCTGCCTCTATCATGGTGGCGATGGTCGTTTCTTCTTCCAGAACCATGGCCACCACGTGAATGATCCTCATAATCATGCGGGCGAGGACTACGGCTTCTGCTTCTACTGCGGCCATGTCTTCCTCTACTCCTCCCGAATAACTTCCTCCTCAGTTCACTTCAACCAATAGACAATAAAATAAATTGGCAACTTACATCATAAAAGGCAAGAGAACACTTCAATTTCAAACTGACCGGTTTATCTTTTTCAGATGCATGAAATTGCAATATCCACCTCGATTGCATTCATTTTCCTCATACTGCCTACATGTGGCTTCACGAAAATCCGTCACAGGGGAGAAGTCAACAATAATGGGACGCCCTAAAAGTTTCAAAATTTATTCCGGTAAGCGAGAATGAAATCAAGCAGATAATAATAATTTAATGTAACTGTTGCTAATGTTACAAAGATATGCAAGTCAAACTAATAGAGTGAACCAGTTAACAAATAAATATGAAAGTGAACATTTGTTTGTATTTTCTCAAAAAATTGGGTCATGCAACGTTTTAGAACCTGCTCCTCTTTCACCAGTGCAACCCAATTTTATACTATCTTCAACAAGAATGTCTAGTCACAAGTACAGAACTTGTATATCTACATCTTCTGTCAAATTAACTATATACAGACAGAATGTTTTCTGAATTAGCCCATGAGATACATCCTATCATTTCATTCTTAGATCAAATTACTCCGTACATTTACAAAAACCATTTGAGCTTGAAACATTGTTAGATACATCTATTCGGTATCCAGGATAGACAAGAACCTTAGAATGCCCCAGTGCTCTATCCTTCCAAACCCACTCACCCCGATCCCCCTCAAGAAATGAGAAAAAGATATTAGTCATATTTTTGAACTTTTGTCACAACAAATGGACTAAATCTGTTGAAGGGTGATCTAGCTATAATGCAGACGAGTAACACCATTGCTATTGCTTTATCCACAAATTAAAAAAATTGACACAAAATCTTACACCTAAAGATGAATGACTGTATAACAAAAAGAATAGAACTGGCCTGCGTAAAACCTTCCGCTAAGATTCTGAAGTGCACTGGCTGCATGGTCTTCCTCTCTAAATTGGACGTAAACATTACCAACCATGTGATCAGCCAAGTTATCGCAGATGTTAAGGCTCTGAAGATCTCCATATTTGCTAAGCTCCTCAAACAAATCTTCATAGAAATCCTGTATGTTAAATAATAAACATTACAAAGGAATACAGAATATTCAGCCCAATAAAAATATTATCCATGCCAGAAGACTTTTAAGGGCTTGTTTGACATAGCTTTTGATAAAAGTTTTAACAGATTTTGATAAAAAAGTTAATGTAACATGTGGTTGAAAAATTGACAAAAGTGATGGATCCCATGAAAATTTTAGTTCAAATTAAAGTTTAACATAATTTTTTTAGCAATGTTCTATCAAACAAAGCTCGCAATTTTCTGAAACACATGCTGTAAAATAGGATCACAAGTCTCCTGCATTTCCAAACTTCAATTAGTTTGACCCCAAATATTAAAATAATTAAATAAATATCCCATCTCACCCCCAAAACCAAAAAAAAAAAAAAAAAAAAAAAAAAAAGAAAGAAAAAAAGGAATAACAATGATCTAAGTGAATTGCGTCTTTTGTCCACTAACTAAACAGTACTCAGTCACCCATCAAAATCAGCTCAACTTCTCAACCAGTCGTAATAGTTAAACAATACAAAAGAAACTATGCGCTTACTCCTACACCTCGAATATCATATATCAACAGCTAATTACTCTAGTGCCAATAAACTCAGCACAAAAGCAACTTGGCATTTCAATGAGGCCAAAAAATATTAAGCATAAATCAGCCTCCCACAAATCACAGATGTAGACACACAATAAACCATTCAAAGCCAACAGAGATGTGCATTCACTACCTGTTTTCCATTATGCCCAAGTATATTCTGAAAATACTCCTCCCAACCATGCTTGATTGGATAGTAAGCAAGGCGTAAGCCTCAAGACAAACAAAAAAATATTTAAAATAATATAAAAATAAAAATACAAAAAAATGCTCATAATAAATCATAAATCATCTTAAAAAGTCCATAAGAAAACAACAAAATTAAAAGTCTTAACTTAGAAACAAATACAAAATAGTCAATAAAGTATCAAATAAAAATTTTTGAGTGAGTAATCATGAAACAAAATTATAATAGGATATTAAGGGAATCAATACCATCCTCCACATCACTACTAGTTTCTTCTCATTCATCTTCCTCCACTAGCTATCACGTATTTTCCTTTCCCTTCCATGTAAAGATAGAAAAAAGAAACTAAAAAAGCTCGTACAACATTCTAGATTATAAGGAAATAGAAAGCTAAGGCCAATAACAAAATGTCCACAAACACAAGACAAACGGGTAAACATTTCAGTCCCCTTCAGTTGAAAGCCAGTAAATGTGCCTCAGGGTGTAGCTTGTAAGCTTTGAGGCAAGTTATAAAAGCCTCACATTAGGTAGGATTCAAGGTATAGGCCTCAAATAGATTTTCTAAATAATGACTATAATTAATAAAAAAAAATATTCCTACGATAGCCCTTTTTACCACCCATGTAACATCACATAATACACTAAAGGCACAAGCCTCAAATAGCCTTTTTAAACAATGACTATAATTAATAAAAATAAGATTCCTACAATAGCCCCTGGAGTCGTTTTCACCATCCATGAAGCATCACATAATATACCAAGTGCATGTTTGTTGAGAAGTATTATAAAAACGACAGAGAATAAATGAAACAAATCCAGGCTTCTTTTTGTTATACAACCAAGATGATGTTAATTATAGTATTTGCAAAAACCAACTTTTATGGTGATCCAATCTTGAATAAGATTAATTGGCTTATCAGATTTACTTTTAATACTCTTACCAAGTTGACCACATAATTCCTAAACTGTTATTTATCCTTTTTGTTGTTTCTCACTATAACATCACACCAGAGTGAGAGCACACTTTTTCAGCAATCCAAGAAGCTGATTATGCAAATCCTACACTTAAATACATCACAAAGCATAAAATACACCAATTCTAAGAAACTAGAATACAAAAATTTGATCTGTAGTTCAATGCATCAAGAGAATCTTACCAGGACTTGAATCTCACACACAAAACAGATCATTCATATCAAATAAAATCATGTAAAATCTTGTGTTAATATTGTAAATTTTATGAATTTTGAATTGGAATTTTAAATGTTACCTCAAAATGGTTTTG